CCGAAGTGAACGTTCATCAATCGGGTATTCACTAAAATTATATAATGCTTCCTTAACTCCTTCTAAAGGCTGAAATGAGTCCTTATTGTATAGCTCCCTTGTGCGATCCATTTCTATGTTTTCTTCATTAATGCAATCTTCACATTTTCTCTTCGTTGTATTTGTGGGACTTACTTTTAATTTCTCGATGGGGTTGTACTATCTACTTATATCGTAGTTGTAAAATTGGTTAGTTTAATATTGTTCGCTCCTTCGCTAAGCGTTTATCTCTCGATTTATTTGTTGCCTTTAGTCCTGTTATACGTTTGTACCTCTATTTTCATGTTGTCTTATCTGCTCTTTGTCCATTACTATAACTGGTTCAATCGACGGACGATACTGCTCATTTTTCCAGGCTAAATAGTTACATATATTTCTTTTTATGATGTTTAATCAAGCTTGAATAATTGTCTCACTCTTGTTTCGTCTGCAAAAAATGTTGGCCTTTACTCAACTCCACTTTCCCGTTTTTACTAATGGTAACATTTGTATTGTAATGCAATGTGGAAGAGGCCTGGCTTGAGTTAAGTTCACTCAAGTTAAGTGACTCAGTGGCGAAGTGGTGACATGTTGCCGCGATGTGCACTAACTGGTTTATACTCCCGCTAAAGGTGCGATGAGACCAATACGTGGTCAATATTGTTGTCCACTCTTGTAGGAGAACTTTTCAAAGGGAAAATTGTACCTGGCGTCATGAGATTGCTCACTTTATTATGGGGATTGTCATCCTCCCTCCTTAAATTACTCAGTTGGCGTTAGATTTTTCAGCACTTGGTGTAACCTGCTTATCCTGGAAATTTTTTTTTAATATTAAAGCAGCTCCCGTTAGGTTTTGAATGTCTTGTACTATTAACTTCTTGTTCGAGCTCGATTTGGTTAGCTTGTATGTATTGCTTTTTGAGATGTTTAGATCAAGAATACTGTAATGTTTGGGTATATTTGTTTGATATAAGTTTTAATTTGAACTCTAATTAACTTCAAGTCTTGTGAAATAGTGGAGTCACTATCCTAATTTTGAATGCGTGACTCCTCAGATTTACATTTCTATAATTATACTACCCTTGCTATCCTCTGTTGATTTCAAAGGCTCTTGATTATTTTCCTTCTTTAGCGCACTTATAGCTTTCACTGCCATAGTCGTATGATGAATATGATATTTTATTTAACTTTCTTTGAAAAGAGTTATTCTTTAATTACTTTTAGGGCACATCCTCTTCAACGTTATCCTCATGGTCCCAACAGCGGCAGCGGATTCGGCGGCCCCCACTGTCTTCACGATGAACCAGCTGGTATCGATACAATGAACGGCGGAAGTGGGTCAGATCACATCCGGGATGGTCAGCGCCACCACTTTTTGGACAATGATGATCGCTTGCGTGATCCTTCAGCACAGACTGGCTATTTAGGGGGTCCTCGTTTTTCGGGTGGGCTTCCGCATCGCATGCCGTTCGGTCGGTAAGAATTACCGGATCAAGTCCAGTCGCATAATCGATCTAAAATAGTAAAATATATCGGCTGGCGTATTGCGACGTTTCTGTGGGCAGGATTTTGTCATTTAATTTGTCGTCTGATCATCAGTGTACTATAATTGTAAAGTCGAATTAAGCTCTAGCACTACTAAAGTCATTTCAGAACACTAAGCAGTTGGGTTTCTACTCGCAGAATTCTGTTTCGTGTATAATTTTCAAAATTGATTCCAGTTTAGGTGTAAGTATGTATAGTAATTTTATTTTCTTGTCTAGTTTCATCTATATTTCGGTTCAACATTATTACTCACATGATGAACAAGTTATTTCACAAATTGTGGCGTCTATATTGAAGACTACTTGCTATTCGTTATTTTATGCACCTTTCCACTGCCATTTCCAAGATATTTGGACGTGGGGTTTGGATATTAATTAATGGATATCATTTTTATGCAGAGAAGTGTTGATATGGAAATACCCAAGAGTTCTTGATCGTGTAGTGTTACCAAGGCGAGAGGCTGATTCGCACTTGGTTTCTTGTAATCGTCATAGCAAGCCTGTAATGGCCAAATTATTAGTTGGTCTTGTTACTAGTACTTAATGACTCACCTAAACATAATAAATCGCAAGAATAAATATTCCGTTGTATACTTGCGTTGCTTATGATAATTTGGGATAAGGGCCGCTTGGTTTTTCTTATGTTGGACCTTTAGACTACAACCGGTCCTTTTTCACTTATCTCTTTAAAGGCATTAAATATTAAGGTCAACTTTAAATACTTGTCAGCCAGCAAATGCCGCATTTGCGTTATATAGGTTGTGGCCTCGTGCATTATACCACAGCTCGCCCTCGGAGTTCCTCCAAAATGAGGGTATTTCTATAGCTCTAATGTTCGTCTAGGGCCACTAGTTTGTTGTGGAAACAAAGAGAGATTGAATCGATCCTTCAATGGAGGCAGTACTACTGTCGCTTATCGATAATTGATCCTTTCTCCACATTTGTACACATTTGGATGAACATGCTCGCATAGCTTCTCTTGGAACGTCAACTCGTGTACTCGTTTTCAAGTATGCATAACCTGATTATATTGCTGTTATATGATCTCGGTACGATAATGGTTGTATTTCTTCAAGCGTTAAGCCAGATGCATAGAAAGTGATCTCTGACTATTCTCTTACACTATCTTCGAGGTGGGTGTCCTCTTGTAAGTATGTGATGCTGTGGCTTGTAAGCCCATTTCACTTCAATGTGACGGTGTATTCTCCTCTGCTGTTTCATGCTATTGGCACATTGAGCCCGATGTAATGTTCGGTTCTGGTGGTGAATTCATTATATCTCATTTATTACCTAATTAGTGTCGGAAACCATCATAATTTCGAGATTACGTTCATTTAAGAACACTAATAGGTTCATTCATATTTGCTATAAATACACACAGAAGATTAACTTCAGAGGTATAGAAAAATATGGTTTATTCGTTTTACTATTTACATATGTATGCGTACATCCCGGCGTGAATTTGCTTGGAAGTTTACCCACGAAATTTTTTTGATTGCATTGAAGAATTAGAGTGTGGTTCATTTTATCCTGGATCGCTTAAATTAATTCCAATTGGGAGAGGTTTGGCTTGCTTTGGGGTTAGATCTACACTGTAGTCCTATTTTTGTTTTAGCCACCTCTATTATCTTAACTGACTTATTCACCTCTCCCTAAGGCTCATTGGAGTTTATATGAAAAAGTGAGCACACTAATTGGGGTAGAGGTGTGAGCTATCTGAAATTAAAGTGGAGAGTGAGGATGCCAGCACTAGGAGATAGTACATGTTTTGGGCCAGAGAGGAGACATCACAGCTGTTAAATAGATACTTGTGCCGATGCATTATCGACTAAAGACGCAAGCATCTAATCGACAATATCCCTCTTAAATAACTCGGAAAGAATTTCACAGGGCGCAGAGTGGGCTACATTATTCAAAGTCTTCTTGACAGCATGTCTAAGTTGCCAGAATGAAGATGAACAATTTTTGATCGATTATTGCTCGAAAGCATTTATACTCCAGACTTGGTTGAAAATTACATTAGTTCAGTACCCAATGGAATTAAGGTTTATGTTTATTCTGAATAAGATAAGGAGCTTAGCACCTTTATTCGTGCCATGAGCCCACCTCATCTTAATTTAGTTTGAAGTTATGACTCCATTCGAGCTCAAGCCTGGTCTTATCTCATTTTATGCGTACAATAATTGATTGTTCTTCTCTTAAAGCTAGACTAGATGGGGTAATGAAGTAGTCTACTCTC